TTCACAGACGATTGACTATTTCTCATTCAATTAATTCAGTTTTCACTTCGCGACAAGACGAAAATACACAAAGGCTCAAAATATCTGTATTAAAAATTAAGTAAATCTTAAACACTTATTTCCTCGAAAAAATTCCAGAAAGGATTAAGCATGATTTAATTCGCAATAATAAAATGAAGGCGTTATTTTTGTTGTTGCGAAGCTTAGTCTCTCTAGATTGGCAACAAATCTACAATTCTGCTATTTCAAATGTAAACAAATATGTCCGCCATGTTATTTAAAACTTAACCGCACTTAAACAGCTTTAAAATTGTTGATAATTGTACAAATATTGCATCCAGAATTACGAAAGGCATAAAAACCTTAACCGAAAGATAAGAAAAACATAATTCAATCATTTTAAAGGAAAAAATGTACAATTTACAAACATATAAGAGTAAAGAAACTGAGATCACTGATGCGGGTAACAGAGTGGATATATAAATAAATATATTTGTATAGGTTTGGTGTGCTTGATTGCAACCAAAATACGAGGTGCACATCTACATGTTATAGCAGTCCTATATACAATATTTCAACGTTCTGAGGCTACTCGTTTTTGAGTTATGCGAGATACGTACGTACGCACGCACGTACATACGTTCGTACAGACGCCACAAAAAATTCTCTTCAGAATAAATTTTAAAGCAGTTTTATAATTTTTTTGAAGGAAACGAGTCTTTTATTCCGTCCTTACGTACAGATATCACGCAAAAACATCGTTAAATTGCATTCGATAGCGGTCAAAATGGATATTTTCGTTGAAATATGCTGCCTGAAACTTTTCGCGATTACAATACTTCCTTTTTACTTCGTGCAAGGAAGTAAAAAGAAGTCAAAGAATTTCAAGAATTCGGTGTCCATGTACACATACATGTATTTTCACTTAAAGAAATCAGAGAATTGCACAAACTAGGTAGTGCGTACTTCCTTAACGTTTTCCATGCACAAATCGATCGATTTTCGCTTGAAAAAATCAGAAAGCTAAAACAAAGTTAAAACTATCATGCTAACCGGAAATGGGGTTTCATCACCAAATCCGAATAAAATTTGTCGCTAATCAAAGGGGCACCCAATTCTACACCAGAGCCTACATTTCTTTCACGATTGCCTTTTTTTGCTGCTTCTGAACTGGTATAGTTCTTTGAAGTCAAGCTTATTTTTATTATCCTTTATAATGTAGCCGCCCAGATCATATAGTGGTTAGGGAAGCCGACTACGATACCGAAGGGCCCGGGTTCGGATCCCTGAGAAGGCATGGGTGTAACTGTCCGTCCTTTCATAGGAGGTAACAGTGGCCGCCTATTAGGAAACCTCGATAATAAAATGGTCCCCATTTCCGGCCTTAGGAATGGCCAATGGCGAAAGCGGACATAATAGTGCCCGTCGTTCGGAAAGAAGAAAAGAAAGATACTTTAAGAAATACGATTTTAACTTCACCACACCTTTCTTGCTAATTTTCTAATCCCAAGAATTTGCCTACAGACCCAATATCATAGGGAACGCCTGCATCTGGGTATAATTTCCTCCAGGCAAAACTCATGGTCTTGTATGTCCCATTTGCTCTCAAGCTTCGTAATGAAAGTTAAGCAATTCAAAATATTAAAATGATATTTCCAGAAGTCCCTGAGTAATAATTATGCAGTATGGATTACCTAGACACTTGGAAATGTAAGAGTGTTAGCTTGAATGGTTGTAACGACAGACAGCGTTCGTTATCCGAGTCGGTTGTTTAATCCCAGACGATCCCATAATATTTTAAGATCTGTCGAATTGTTCTTAAAGTCTGACGTTCGTGATCAGAGATTCCATTGTATTTCAGAATGGTATTATACCTGTCTTGCATCCTGTTGGATATCAGTTACATCAGAAAATCTCCGTCTACTCTACGCAATATTTAATTTTGAAAGCAATCGAAAACCACAGGTGCTAAGTCAGAGAAATAATTAGGATGACTTAACTGATAAATGGAATTGTTGGCCGCAAAATCCCCTGCCGTGACTGTTAGCGAGAAAGGTAATGCTCATAACATTTCTCTACTGCCCAATTTTTCAGGTACAAAAGTCTCTTTCTATATTAATCTGCAGTTCTCCAATTTCATACTTTATTTATTGATTCATATCGCATTTCACAATCTGTTAATATTTGCCGTTTTCGGCCATTCATTGTAAAATCATTTGTTCTGTTTTCTCGACATTTTTAAAATTTAGTAGGACATTAAATACACTCATCCTTTTCATACCACCTTCATCATATGTCACTTTCAGTAGTTCTAACATTTTATTAGAGCCTTTTCAATCTTATCACAAAATCTGATCCTAATATGCTGCTATAAATCACGAGCTTCGCTTTTTACGCCAAAATGCTCAAGTGAATATCTATTACTTTCCCAATAATTACCTATTACTCGCTTCTTTCAGCTTTAAATTAGCGCAAGTGTTAGTTAAAGTATGCTCAAACACTAATAAAATAATTTCGATGCAATTACATTGGGGCTAACACTACGCAGGAATTTGCCCTACCTACTATCGTTGATGATTACGATTCACTCATATAATTCAACTAGGAAGCCCGGCGGTCATACGAAATGACCGCTTTTCTAGATATTATAAATTTTAATTAAAATGATTTGTGCAAAAGTATTTTTGGAAAGCAGGGAAGTGAAAAATTAACAACGCCTTCGCCGGAATCGAACACGGACCATGGAATACCGGCCAGCGTGCAGAACACTACACACGAAGGCACGCTAGGGAAGCGGGAGGAATACCTTTAAGACAATAAAGTTTAAGTTTTCTGCCACACATGTGCTTTGCTATGGCTGCGTGACGTGAGGATTCCAGGTTGCTAGTGGTGTTGGTGTGGGTGTATTTTATTATGGCAAAGCACACTAGGGCTATCTGCCTAAGGGAGGGATGCCTTTGTGGAGGCTTCTAGGGAAACTGCTCGTTCCGTTACCATGGGGAAAACCACGAAAACGCCCATGCAGCCAGCCCGTTCGCGGGATACGAACCTCAGACCGAACTACCAGTGTTTAGCGTCTTTACCGCTCGGCCGCTGGTGGGCTAAGCGTGGAGTTGAATTTGACGCCAAGATATGTTGCCTGAGTGACCTTCGGCACATTTTTATTAAATAATGTCATGTCGACATTCACATTTTTCTTGCGGTGACGACCTATGAGGAAGAGTTTGGATTTAGTAGCGTTAATACGAGTTCTCCACTTTCAGCACCAATGTTCGATTTCATTCATCCATCCGGCTCTGGATGCGAGTTTTTTAATGACTGGGGTTGAGTGAAGAAGACAGAATAGCAGTATCGTCAGCGTAGCAGGCGGTGATGCAATTAGTATTGTTATCAAACATCGGAAATTCTATGGCATAAATTAAGTAAAATAAAAGGCCCTGGATTAAATCCTTGAGGAACGCCCGCAGCAATATTTCTTGAGGTGGAATAATGTTGACCCTGTCTGATTGTGAACGTTCTGTGACTGATAAAGTAATGGATCATCAATACTAATTCTAGGGTGACATAGAGAGTGGTGAGTTTAAAAATAAGTCCATTATGCCAGACGCGGTCAAAAGCTTTGGCCACGTCCAGCATAAGGAACGCAGTGGTTTGATGCGATGCTTGTGTATTGCAGAACTGAGAAACTCGACAATCCTTACTAGTTGCATAGTGGTAGAGAGGCCCCTGCTGAAACCGAATTGCTGATTAATATATATATATATATATATAATCGTGTATAAATATATATATATATATTCCCAGTCTGTTACCAGGCTCTGTGAGCTTGTTATTTTATTCTTATATGTTAATAAATTGTGCATTTTTTGCTTTTAAAGTGATTGAATTATGTGGTTTTTATGTTCTAGTTAAGGTTTTTATGTATTTTGTTAATATGCGTTCAGTATTTCTAGAACTATCAACAATTTAAAAGTTTAAGTGGCGAGTTCAACGAACGGCCATTTTCTTACATTTGAAACTCAGTAGAATTGTGAAATAAGTCAATTTCTGCCCCAAATTATCTTTTTGCCGAGTGGCACGAAAAATAAACTTTCAGTTTTGCGCTCCGAAAAAGCTTTCTTCTTGACCGCTGCCCGAATCACCTGTTTTTGTGTAGAAACTATAATTTTAATTATAAATGTTTTAAATGTTTTAGCTGCATTTGGTGTTTTATGTTTTCCTGTATTTTACAGATTTTAACGAATATGTTTTAAGTTTGTATGTATTTTTGCTTTGCCACGAAGTGAGAACTGAATTAATTGAATGAGAAATACATCTCTAATGAAATTCGAGGAAATAAGTTTTAATGAAATGCATCAAAAATTGTGTATAACTTAATAGGTCATACAATGAAGTTATGTGGTGTCCACATCAGATTTTTTAAAGTAACTTACCACCGATGGATGATTAATATTGACAGAAATAATAAAAGAAAGATTGGATTGAAATAAGATTTATTAAAGAAATCGTCATTTCAAATATTTTCTGATAAAGTAATTTAGCATCAAGCTCAGCAGCCAACTAATTTATTTTTAATGCTGACTCTTCAAACGTCTAGGGAAAACCGAAGTTGCTAAAGCTCATTGCTAAATCTTCCATAAATTTGACATAGATGTGTATTAAACTTATTAAATTCTAAGAGAGTTATAAGGTATTTCTCCCACTTCCCTAGCGTCCTTCGTGGTGTAACGGTAGCACGCTGGGCCGGTATTCCAGAGGTCCGTGGTTCGATTCCCGGCGAAGGCGGTTCCTAATTAATAATCCTCCTCTCTGGCTTCCAAAAACTCCTAATGACTCTACAAAGTTATTAAATCACATAGTTGATCATTGATCAAAGAATTAAAATATTTTAACATACAAGTAATTTCAAAGAATTAGAATTTATACCAATGCTCTTTTTCGCAGGTAAATCCCGTCCATACTTGTGAAGTGTTTGTATTAATAATTGATTTTTTCTTTAGATTATGGGCGGAGGTTTTCCATGTGAGCGCGGCGAGTGGAGCTGTGAAGTGGCAGCAGGTTTCGGAAGACCTGGTTCCTGTCAACATCACCTGTATACAGGACACTCCAGACTGTGTCTTCCACATCACAGCTTACAACTCTCAGGTTGAAAAAATTCTCGACGTCCGTCTTGTACAGCCAGGTAATATTTTCTGAATACGTCATATAAATTTTCATATCGTCCCAAAGAAACCTAAATAGTAAATACAGGCCTTCAGATTGGATTCCTTTGAGCAATATTCAAAATATAAACTTACGTGTCATAACACTATAATAATACAAAAAAAATTCCAGCTTAGCAACAAAGAAGACATTTCGTTATTAGAAATAACATTAATAACCCTGCCGTGTTTCTTCATCCTTCGAGTTACAAAGTTATATGTTTTCTTTAGAAGTTCAATTTTCAAGTCATTTTCTCGCCTATCAATAAATTCCTCGGTTCGATTCTTAAGGATACCATTTATGACTTAAATGATATCTTTAGATATTGGGGAAAATTAAAATGCAGGAGCACGCGCATTTAACATTTTAATAAATAGATAGCTCGTAATTGTACTCTTGCTATCCAGAAAAATCGAGAAAATACGAGAATTCTGGCCTAAAAAGCTATAAAAGGAGGACATTCTTCATGCAGTTGTTATGAGTTGTGTGGGTAACTGTTGGTGTCTACTGAGCGAATTCGTGGGAACGGTAGCTTTTATGTTTGAATTAAGTTCTCTGAAAGATAGTAGTTAAAAGATACTAGTGAGCTCTGGTATAGCAAATCCTAGGAAAATTTAAGCATTTTTATTTATGCGAGAATAATAAATTATCACTTTTCTGAATTTCATTCAATTATACGAAAGTCGCAGCACAATATTACCAAATAAAGTACATTAGAAGGTTGTAGTGCCCAGAGGTTAAATCTTTGGATACAGAGTAGAGAGGTAGGAGGTGACGGAAGACGGGACGCCTGGTGGCTACAGAGATAAACAGGCATGTTCCTCGCTTCCACTATCTATGGCACAATGCCCTCAGAGTCCACACCGGGTTTTTAAACAGGAGTACATGCCCAACAGGGGATTTAACATTCATAATCAGGTATGAGACTTGGACGGGTTTACAGATGAGGGACTCAGAGATAAATACTAAATATGTGAAAACACAGAAAAACCTAGAAATATACAGAAAAAACACACACACAAAAAAGAAGAAGATGCACTTGATTAGCATTGAAGACTTAAGACAAATAAAGCACATTTAAAAACAATAATACACATATACCACATGTCAGATACATATTTGGCCTCATTGATCACATATACTGTACATTGTGGGGTGGTGTTACAGACGAGGGGCCATAAGATGGGAATAACATGTGATTGCTGGACATTGATATGGGGGACACGTAGAGGTCCGGCGAATATATATTTGTGGAGCGCATAGGTTGCTGAGTATATGAGCATGCCGAGCGCGGTGACATGTTAGCAGCACAGGGTGATATTCATGTTGACTTCTGTTAGTGGCGGACGTTGTGGGATTATGCAGCGTCGCATATATCTTGGCCCATAGCGGCGAGCTGGTCAATGACCTTACAGATTTTATTGATTGCAGGTTTGTTTTTAATAATGAACCGTTGAAAGGCGTCTGTAGGAGGAGTGGGATGCTTAATGTGGTTGTCTGCTGTGAGTGGGCAAGAGTAGATATAGTGGTCTGGTGATCCAAGTTGGCCGCACACGCAAGCATCTGTAGTGGAGATGTTGTGCCTATAATAATACGCTGGATAGGGGCCATGTCCCGTTATGAACCGGGTGAGTTGGGGTATAGCTATGAGGCGTGATAGAGAGACTTTGGGTAGGAGATTGTAGGTCCGTCGTCGGTGTCACACGCGTTCCATTCCTCTTGCCATATTTTTGAGTAGGTCTTCTTTGAGAAGCCTCTTTAGATGCGATGGTGGTGCACGGATACGGATTTGCTGAACTTCAGAACTGATGGCGGCTTCTTTGGCTAGGGTGTCTGCTGCCTCGTTTCCAACTAGACCAGCATGCGCCTTGACCCAGGTGAGGTGAATGCGTTGCTGGTGGTTTACAGAGAGTAGCTTTTGGATTTCGGAGATAATTGGGGAGGTGTGGCTTAAGTTTTGAATCGCCAGGAGTGAAGATTGGCTGTCTGTACAGATGCATGCTTGGTGGTAGCCGTTACTTAGTATGTCGTTGGTGGCGTTGAGGATGGCCAAGGCTTCTGCCTGGAACACACTATTGAAGTGCCGAAGTGCTGCCTTCCAACTGGTATGTTCATCATTTTGGTGGTAGCAAATGTAGGCGCTACCAACTCCGTCTTCAATCTTGGATCCATCGGTGTAGTAGACGTACGTAGCGTTGGGAATACTAGAATTGCTAGTGTTGTCTATGGTGATGCGGAAGTTTCTTCCTTGAATGCCTGGGTGTGGGCGTTGGGTGGGGCGAGGGTTTTCATATAAGGTCGGACTGTGGGTTGTATCGTGGAAGGTGGCGTCTTTGCGTAGTTGCAGGACTCTGGTTATTGTAGCTTCTTGCTCGGCTCTAAGATATAGTGGCGGTATGCCTGCAAGGATGATGGCCGCAGAGGTGGCTGTGGTGCGAAAACCTTTGCACATCATTAGTGCGAAAGGTCTTTGGATGGTCTGTAGTTGTTTACGTTTCCGGCTTTGCATCGGCGTTCGCCCATATTGCGGCAGCGTACAGGACTATGGGTTCAATCACTGTCGTGTACAAAATCTTGTTAATATATGGGTTTCGTCCCCAATTTATACCTTGAAATTGACGGGCCTTGCGTGCAATGGCTTGTGTCTTAATTTTGAGTTGCTGTAGATGTGGGATCCATGTAAGGCCTTTGTCCCATATTAAGCCTAAATACTTGAGCTCTTTGACGATTTTTAGATTTTTCTGTTGGAGTTTGATACATGGATTTCTGCTTGGGTTGGTGCCTGGCTTGGGAATGATAAGAGCGGTTGATTTGGCAGTGGAGATGGTTAATTTGAGTTCTTGACAGAGGAAGCTGAATTTTTGTAATATTTGAGTGCTTCTGTGTTCCAATTCGTTTCTGGTGCGACCCTGGATTAGGAACGCAACGTCGTCTGCATAGGCAACTAGTTGTGTATGCTGTGGCCAGTTGGTGGAGATGATGCTGTTGAAAGTTAGATTCCAGAGCACTGGGCCGGCGCAAGATCCTTGCGGGCATCCTCTCTCCTGCTGTTTGATGGTTGTCCCGTTGTTGTGTGGGACCAGAAGCAAACGATTATGTGGGGGTAACTGTCGAATACGCTATAAACGTTACGGGGGCATCGGGATCAGCGGAGAGCTTGCTTAATGGCCGGCCACCAGAGGGTGTCAAAGGCACTCTGAAGGTCAATTGAGACAAAGGCCGTGTGAAGCTGTTGTTCTTTGTTATGGTGGATTATCCGTCGAACTTCCTCCAGAGCATGCAGTGTGGAGAGGCCAGGAGCGGAAGCCGAACTGCCTGCTGCTTAGGATGCGGTGGTTGTCTTGCAGATGAAAGATGAGTCTTTGTACTATTAGTTTTTCGTAGACTTTCCCTAGAGCCGGCAACAGGCAGATAGGTCGGAGAGAGCTTGGGCTTTGGGGATCTTTGTTCTTTTTAGTGAAGAAGATTACATGACCAGTTTTAAAGGCGCTTGGGAAGAGCTCATGTTTCAGGAGGGTGTTGAAGAAGTGCAGAAAGAAGATGGGATGTGAATTGTAGGCGACCTTCAGAATGTTATAATCTAGGCCGTCAGGGCCTGGTGCTTTCTTTTTGGGCAGGGTGCGATAGATTTGTGTGATTTCTTGCCTGGTGAAGGGAATATGCGTGAAAAATTGCAAGAAATTTGTGTTGGTAGAAGGCGGTCCAAAATTCAAAATCATGTAAATAACTAAAATTTTAATTTTTCGATGTGAGGTACTTCAGTGCAGATTGTAAGTAAAACTTACAGTTCTTAGTATTTTAAATTATCAAATTTCTTCATTTCTGCAATATTTATACTTTTCAGTTTGACTTAAAATACATGCACCTTTAATTAAAAATTTCTTTCTTTAGAGGAAATACTTGTATGCGCGTTGAATTATTCGCAAATAAAAAAATAATAAATTGTTATTTAAATTGTGATATGATACATTTATTCTGTTACTTATTGCTATTTATCGCTTTTTTGCCATCACATAAGTTATAATTTTACTGAATGGTTTGCTTGAGATAAATTATTACTAGCCCAAAGGGGCGTTAGCATAGAAGGGTTATTATTCTCGAAGAAGAGTTTTGCGTCGAATCACTATAAACAGGTGTATGGCTTTTCAAATTCTTGCCACCAAATATTATCACCCTGCATTAAAAAATTAAATAATGAATAATCTGCATGAATGTGTGTACGTTTCTCACAATGTGAAGAAGTGATGTTTCCTAGAGCCATCAAATTTTGAATAACGTAATCCTCCACCCGAACATGGATCAGAATTTTGACTTTCGAATTTGTTTTATAATATTTTTCATATTTCGTAAAACTTTAACAAATTCTTGATAAACAAAGTGAAAGATTTCAAAGCGAGCTGTGGCAACATACTGCATGGAATAAAATGTTTTTATCGCCAGCTCGCAATCGGAAATTTTGAAGATATGCTGCTTTTAAATATCTTTAGCCTACATGCTCTCGAAATGTGTATGTATGTGTCAATGAAAAATCTGATGTGTACACTACATGGCGTCCTTGTACGGAATAATAAATCATACGCATTTTTTCTTGCATTTCATTTAAACTTATTGGATTGAATTAAATCTACTTCGCCGACACCGCATAAACCAAAATAGAATAAATGCATTCTTTAAAATTCACTCTAGTATGTGTTTACCACAGCGACACTCTGGCGCTAGATTCACTTAACAGTATTATATTTTGTTCATATTATAACTCATAATGCCCAAAATTTATATCATTTAAAGAATAGAATTATCTAATTGTTGCCACAGGTTCTATTCAAATACTATAATAAAGCTAGAAAGATGTATAAAAGAAATTAAGCAAACAAAACAAAAAAGAAACAGTTTTTCACAGACGATTGAGTATTTCTCATTCAATTAATTCAGTTCTCACTTCGCGAGAAGGCAAAAATACATAAAAACTCAAAATATCTATATTAAAAATTACGAAGTAAATCTTAAACACTTATTCCTCGAAAAAATTCCAGAAAGAATTAAGCATGATTTAATTGGCAATAATAAATGAAGGCGTTATCTTTGTTGTTGCGAAGCTAAGTTTCTCTAGATTGGCAACAAATCCACTAGTCTGCTGTTTCAAATGTAAACAAGCAATGGCCGCATCAAAAAAAAAATTAGGCTTAGCGGCACTTAAACAACTTTAAAATTGTTGATAATTCTAAAATATTGCATACAGATTTACTAAAGGCATAAAAACCTTAACCGGAAGATAAGAAAACATAATTCAATTCATTTTTAAAGCAAAAAATGTACAATTTACAAACATATAAGAGTAAAAGAAACTGAGATCACTGAGCCGGGTAACAGAGTGGATATATATATAAATATATTTATATACGTTTGGTGCGGCCGATTGCAACCAAAATACGAGGTGCACATCTACATGTTATAGCAGTCCTATATACAAAATTTCAACGTTCTGAGGCTACTCGTTTTTGAGTTATGCGAGGATACGTACGTACATACGTTCGTACAGACGCCACGAAAAATTCTCTTCAGAATTCATTTTAAAGCAGTTTTATAATTTTTTTGGAGAAAAGAGTCTTTTATTCTGTCCTTACGTACAGATATCACGCAAAAACATCGTTAAATTGCATTCGATAGCGGTCAAAATGGATATTTTCGTTGAAATATGCTGCCTGAAACTTTTCGCGATTACAATACTTCCTTTTTACTTCGTACAAAGAAGTACAAAATTTCCTTTTGGAGGTAATATAAAATTTGAAAACTTTCAGATTTTGTTTTAGTTTTAGCATTTTATACTCAAGTTTCTTTCTCTTTACTAGGAACGCGATTGGGTCCAGCCTCAGAGTGTTTTGTTTATTGGAAGGATCCTGCAACAGGTGATACTTGGGGTCTTAATTTTACTTCTCCTATAGATGCAAAGCAGTTTCGAGAATGCTGTGTAAGTACAAACTGTCTTACTTCCTACTCACATTTTCATTCATAGCAAAAACCTTCGTCTTGTGTGTACAAGTAAATCAAACGTGTAATATTATGAGAATTTTTATTAAATCCGTGATTTGAAAGATCTACCTTAAGCTATAAAATGCTCCTAAATATTTAAATCTAGGCAAAACAATGATGCACATAAATTAAGGATAATGCAAAATCAGGCAAAGGAAGAGTTAGAAGCAGAAAAACAAATTTGACTTATTTGTAAAGCTTATTTATTAAACAAAAGGTAAAGAGCAAAAAAAAAAGATGCTATATGTTTGATATTATTAAAAAAATTAGCGATTTTTCTCCCTGGAGCAAATTACAAAAAAAAACATATTTACAAAAAACCAATATTACATGGTTGGTATGATTGTTAATAAAATGTATGTCTGCCACCCGATGCAATCAACGCCTAGGCATGCTGAGTATCAAATTATCGGTCTGATCTTGGGGGATATTACACCACTCAAAAAGCAATGCTCTCCGAAGTTCCGGTAGACATGTAGGAGGAGGTTGACGGGCTGCAACTCGTCGGCCAAGCATGTCCCACACGTGCTCTACTGGATTCAAGTCCGGTGAGAATGCTGGCCAGTCCATACGGGTGATATCCTCCGATTGAAGGCATTCGCTTACGATGTTTGCACTGTGAGGACGGGCGTTGTCATCCATAAACACAAATTGTGCGCCCATGGCGCCCCGAAACAAACGTACATGTTGTTCCAGAATGACGTCCCGATAGATTTGGCTTGTCATGGTTCCAATTTGAACATGCAGGTCAGTTCTGGAACCCAGAATAATTCCACCCCAAACGAGCACTCCTGCACCACCGTAACGGTGTCGTTCAATGATGTTTCTTGGTGGTAACGGGTACCTGGAGCTCTCCATATGAAAGTCCGGCGAGAATCAGACTGCAAGCTAAACCTGGACTCGTCGGAAAACATCACACAAGCCCACTGTTGCGGTGTCCACAATGCATGCTCTCTACTCCAGGCTAACCGCAGGCGACAGTGAGTTGCAGTAAGTGGAACGCATCTGACAGGTCTACGAGCATATAGACCAATCTGCCATAAGCGTCTGTACACGGTCTGCCTTGAAATTGTCGTACCAGTGGCTGAAGAGAGCTGACGAGACAGGTCTGAGGCTGTGCTCCGCCTGTTTCTTTGGCAGTAACTGCCAAATACCGGTCCTCATTCGGCGTTGTAACTCTGGGGCGACCTGTGCTGTAACGTCTACTCACATTACCATCATCTTGGAATCGTTGCCAAAGCCTGGAGATGACACTCTGGGCAATTCCAAGTTCGTCTGATACTTCCAGTTGGGTACGCCCACATTCCAGACGGCCGATAATTCTACCACGTAAAAAATCATCCAAATGCTTCCTTTGTGTCATAACTATTCGGTTATTGCACTGAAATGCTTATAAAGCGCCTGCGAAAAATTTTACTTCTTTGCCTGTATTGCTTATATATTACACTCTCGTCATTGTGATGTACCATCGGTGTCATCTGGTTACTTCCTGAAATTTGCATATGATTCTTGAAGATGTGTGTAGTGATTTTACTGGTGATATATTTATTTTAGAGTTCGATTTCCGCGTGACTCCGAATTATCCTTAATTTATGGACATGAGTGTAGATAACGAAGAGAATATAGTTTCAAAGGATGTAACTAATATCAGTGCATTTGAGAGAGGTTTAATATTAAAAGCAAGCACATAACATCACATGAAAGAATTCACTCAATTATTGCTCAAATATTCCGTCTGCGACGCCTTGAAAAATATAGTAGTTAGTGGAGGTTGACTATTATTCCCTGCTAGGAATTAACTTTATTGCAAATTATTGCTCAATCTGATTCTTATTGCAGATATATTAGCTTTCAACCGCGGAAAAGAACTGTTCATATATAAATGTTGTGATGATTTATCTATTTATTTTTAACTAATAAGTGATTTTTGAGTTAAAGTACTTTTCTATAACTCTCTTTTCGCTCACGCTTCTCATGCTAGAATATACACTTTTTTGAAAAAAAAAATCGAAGCACAGGCAGAAGACTCATTTATAACATTTACCTCAACGTGGTATAAATAAAAGTATAATTGGAAAATGTTTTAAAAGTCAATTTAATGTATTTTATTTTGTGGTTTAATCTATTTCTTAGAAATGTACGCATTTAAAATGACAATATAAAAGTATTTCAGGTTTTCTCTGAAGCAGTACCAAGTTTGAATTAATTTATAAGTTAAACAGATACTTTTTTACCGGTTTCATTTATTATACTAATGTATTATATATTTCGTTTTCAGTCCCCTTCATTCAAATTTTCAAGAAAAGCTTCCTCATCTTACTCTCTGAAACTTGAACCACCTAAGGTAAGCATACAAAAAATCTATAAATTTTCAAAAGTTTCTTTTTATCAAATTGATTCCGTATTACTGATTGTTTTACATAAAAACGTTAAAGAACAAATTTCATTTCAAAATTACCGGTTGAAATTATCCGATCTCTTTCCATCTATTCGAATATAGAAATTTTAGCAAAATTTATTATATTCTAGCAACTTTGAAAATAGCCTCAGACTACGCGAATTTCTGAGCAAACTTGTTTCCTGAATAGATAGATATTTCATTAATAATAAATCCAGGTACTGGCAACTAAAGAAAATAACAGTTACTTTATTTGATTTATTTCTTTTTACAAAGTATTTTGGCTGTAATTTTTCCCCTATACAAATATTGTCCAAATTAATGAAAAAGGTAAAAATTACGAAGATAATCTAATGTGATACAGGAGCATCTTTGATAGTAAACACTGCTTGAAATCTTTTCTTCGAACGGAAGCATATAAGATCTGAATAGCAGTAGTAGGTATTTTATACTATTTTTTGTTTAAACCTTCTCCTGTTCTTTGAAAGATGCCAGGACAGAAAAATAGAATTCCTCTCTATTTTCCAGCACATACCATAAGATGATAACCATAATAAACAATCCAAACAATTTTAGGTGTGAGAGAGAAGATAAACTATGAAATCTATGTTTATAATTCTCTATCATTTTGATTGTAATTCATTTTTGTTGGATGTGCTAGAAACCGAAAGGAATTTGAAAATGGGAAGAAACTGAAAAATGGCAACGAATTCTCGAAAAGCACAAACCGTGTGGTGGTATGCAGGATTAAGGTCCATTATTTGCAGTTGAACGACGTTTCTGTGCAGATTACCACACTCCCGATGCCAAGTCTATCGAGGGCTGGAAAGAAGAGTTTCTAAAGAAAGGATATGTTGCTAAGAGGCATGGTGGTGGACCATCATGATCAGAGGAGACTGCTAATTGCATTTCAGATACGTTTGCAAGATGTCCTGAGAAATCTGCTCGTATGGCGTCATGAAAGCTTGATGTCCCAAAATCAACTGTTCATCATGTGTTACGCAAGCGCTTAAAACTTAATGCATACAATGTGCAGTTGTTACATGAGATGAACCCTGACAAAAACCCAAACCAACAACATTGCCGAAGACAATATTCACCATTAAAAGATCTCAGATGCTGAAAGTTTATGTTGCCACAAATATTTTTGTAATTTAATCCGCTTTGTGACAAACCTTTTCGTCATGTTTCCACCTTGCACGCATGATATTTTAAAAATGGCTAATAGTACATACTTGAAATTGGATGGAATTCTTTATACTGGCACTATCTTCTAACTAAACCAAAAGTCTGATGAATATTTTAATATTAAAAAAAATATGGACGAAAACATTACAGATTTTTTTATTAAAACACATTTCATAAACTCAACTCCAAATAAAATTAAAATTTAAGAGGAAATTTGTAGAATTTTTGGTTCACAGTAGTTTTCAAATGTTATAAAAGCTATATATTAAATATGAAATTTAATTATGCAAAAGAATATTTTAAAATGTGCGCGCAAGGTGGAAACATGACGAAAAATTTTATCACAAAGCGGATTACATTATAAAAATATTTGTGGCAACACAAACTTTCTGATTACTATTTCAGAAAGCAGCTATATTATGTAGTCAGCTGTAAAAAGATGGAAGTAATTGCTTTAAAATAAATAAGTTATCCCAATTCTTGAAACCGATATTCGAAGATCTTATGGGTTTTAAGGTGTATGAGTCCCCTTAAGAAACAAAACTTCAGCGTGTCTCCATTCCAAATCTTCTTTATGTATCGAATACATATTGTAAAGACATTTTAAATTACAGCGTTTTGTCTCGGGTGCTCCGTGTTTAAGTCTGATGATTGTGCAGGCTAAGAGAATTTACTATTTCATTTTCAGCTTTCAAACTAGGACTGATCAATTTGATTTTGGTGAATGAAGGCATTACCACTAAGATGCGGTTTCCTGTAGAAACCAATTTTTTCGCTATTGAATGAATACCTTCGCATTAAATGGTTATGTAATCAACAATACATTCCTTCGTATAAGGTGATAATTAGACCTTCTCCAAATCCGGATATAACTGCCCAAAGCATAGCTGAATCACGACCATGTTTTATAGCAGGACGCATTTTGAACAATGAGTGTCTACTGGTGTCCGAGGTTGGAATTAATCTTAAGATTGACACATTTAAAAACGGCAATTGTTTGTATTGATTAACATGCCATGTTTTGTGTTGCTGATAATACTGCACTCTCCACTTTGCATTTATTTGTGAAACAAGATCTTTTGAGATAGCAGATCTGCCGTATATGTTCTGCTTATATGGTTTATTTCGCACTGCATGTCAAAATTATTTGCAGATGCCTATTATGCCATCAGTTACCTTTTGCAGTTTAAATTATCATTACTGGCGCATTTATTAAGTTTCAGTCTTCCACAAATGTGTCTGGAAGACGATATTTTTGCGGGCAATATTATATTCTTGCGTTTTTCTCTTCCTGACACCAGTAATTTCTTACATTAAACGTTATTTTCTACCTTCACGTTCGTGGAGGGTTCGTGAGGATTTGGAGTGAATAACGACGACACTTGATGAAGTATCGAAACACACTTTATTGGCCAGTATTGCCAGGACAGCTCCAAAACACGTTTTTACAGTCGTCGATGAGCTACTGTAAACACACTGACACGATCAGCGACACAGTCTCCAGGTTATCACGGTGGAGACAGCTTCACGGCAAAGCACTAGAGTACAGCTCCCGACTTTGCTTGATCGTTCGCGGAACTTCACTTACTCTCGAGACTCTCCACGCTACAACTCGCAATGCAATCGACGACACACAGAGCACAGCTCCCGACTCTTCCGTTCAACGAGCGAGTCGTTCCCGAAGCTCAACACACTCTCTCGACGATGCACTAACCACGATACACTACGAGACTCTTTCAGTGTACTCGACGACCCACTCGGCACTCGATGCCCGGCTGTCAACTCGATCGACTCCGCAAGGATTCACTCGCTAGACGAGACACCACACACACTGGATGCGGACCAGCAGGGTTTATATAGCTTTCCGTTTGTGTTCGAGAACCTTCTGGGGTAAGCCGGTAAGAATTCGTTGCAGAAGGTTCTCGATCCTTCCATGGCATATCGCCAAATTTGTCAAAATTTTGGGAAGCCATCTTATCGCGCCTTTACATTTCATAACAATATGTTGACATGATTCTTCCCCTGGGCACCACCAATATTTTTATAAATAAAATTACAGATGCCCTAATGAGGTCGGCACGAACAATGTCATCTCTCTAAAAACTTACTCACTCATTTTCCTTTGCTACGAACTAAGATTTACAAACTAAATACGAAGTACACGTTCTGCTAAGGACATCTGAGAATTTTAGACAGAAATAAAAATGTTGGATTGCAAATATCTGACACATTTTTACATAAGAAACACGTGAGCATTTGAAAATGGAATTCCTTAATATTTATGGAAATGCTTAATTTCAAGTACTTATGTATTGAAATTACGTCATATATTACTCTGACGGAGTGAAAATGAGTTAATCATACAGATTTGACAATTTTCCCTTTAGGGACTATTTCTAATATCCCAAAAAGTTTCCTAATTCTTTAATAAAATAAAGACCTATTTCTGAAGGCGTAAATAAAAATTTTAATTCCCTTAGTTTTATTAAAATGCATTATCTGAAAAAAATTCTTTGTATGAGCTTATTTGAGCTTAATTTTGCCATAGCAAGTTGTCAAGTGTCAAAGAATTATCAAGTGTAAAATCTTCTTAAACGATAATCCACCGTATGATAATTTAATGTTTCAGTATATTATATTCAAATATGCTACTTGGAAATCTCTTCAATGTATTGATAAACAATGATATTAATGTTAATTCTAGATTCTCTTCAATATATTGACTAATGTTAATATCAATATATTGGAGAGAATCTAGTGCCTTCTGAAATGATATCATTGAATATTGCTAATTTCAATGACATGATTGCGGTATGTGTTTAATTGGCTGAAATCCGTGTTATGAAAATTTTGATTCTGATCCTTTTAAATTCATGAAGTCCAATGCATTTATGTAACTTTTAAAATACTTCATAATAAATAAACAAAAAAAAAAAAAAAAAATGCGAAACTAATATTGAGAGCAAAAGCGATTCTCATTTAAATCATGAATTTCAACGTAATGAATCCTGCTATAAAACTATAAACGAGTATTATAAACTTTAGCTTTTATAAAGATTATAATTTGTAAATTGCTTTGAATTTAAAAAATGTAAGATTTAGCTCAATTTTAGTAAATATGTTTATAGTTATCTACATCGATGTTATTCCCACAGCAAAGTAAGCTGTTAAAAGCAGAAGTAGAATGCTCTGTAGTAAACTCTATCTAGTATCAAAGTTCTAATATTTCAGCTGTGAGTCAATGTCGGAAAAAGGTACAGAAAGAAGCTCTGAACGGAGATTTTAATATTTTGTCCTTTATTTAGAAGTCGAAAATATCGCTTTTAAAGTTTAAAATAGCAATGAATGTTCCCTATTTTTCAGCAACAAAAGACGAAAGGAAAGAGAAAGCCACAATCGACACCCAGCTCGCCTTCTCGCAGTCGAGAGTTGCAATGCACCTGCATGACGGCGGAGAACCTGCACCGGGCTCGCAATGGGCGAGTCCGCTACACGGGCGCCGCCACCCTGCCGCGAGTGCAGCCACGTTCCGTGGACGACTACAAGATCTCCTACGACAACCGCAGTCGTGTCCAGACGCACGCATCGACAAGCTCCGTATACGACAACGTGGGAGCTGCGTCGTTACGCCGAGGAGTTACAACAGCCAGTGTCCACGGCCACAAGTTCAGCAGGTTGGACCAAAATATTTCCTCGACATCTACTACATCTGCGACGACTACAAGCACGACGTCAGCAAATACCACCGTTAAAACCTCTTTACAAGATAGGATATCAGACGTCGGATCGTCAGACAGACATCAACAAGATCGGATGGGTAATCGATCCGATCAAGCACGACAGCTGTATGCGCAGTCCACGCGAAAGGAACAGGCCAAGAGCATCGACTGCAGTCTAATGGCTGAGCGCAGGGAAAGGCCTCGAACTGAAGAACTACAACCTCAGTCTCGCAATAAATCAAAAAGCTCGGACAATGTCTTCGAGCAATCGAAGGTGGATGTTCCAGGTCTCAGCTTAGACAGCAACACTTTGAAAAGAATGCTTCATCCTCTACCTTTTAATTCTACCCACAGTTCACCAGAAGGAGAGAGTGAATCTGTTCTCACGGAAAGACTTGTAAGAAAGCTCAAAGAGAATGAAACACACGAAATACCTCAAAGTTATCTCGATATACTTCGAAGCAGACACTACCGGTCCGAAACTGGACGACGTCGAAGCTTGGAGAGAAGTTTGTGCCTGGATATGACGGACGTCGATCAATCGCCGCCTTCCGACCATTTTCTCTACGACAATTATGTCTACGCCACAACGCCCAGTTCCAGCAATGAGAACAGTGATGCTGGAGGACAATGTGTTAGTTCTGATGAAGGGCCTGGTCACCACGCCCCTACCCACACACCTAGCTCACCTACTAATAGGCTCTTGCTTGAGTATGAAATGCACCTGCGCAACGCCTTAGCTCGGGGGCTCGACGCCGAGAGCTATAGCCTACATACCTTTGAAGCCTTACTTACTCAGAGCATGGAAAATGTCGGTAAGTTTATCTTGCTGTATTTATGTTTAATCTAAGTGTACCTTTTCTTCGTTAGACGTTATCCTGAATATTAAGCACTGCAGCCCTGTGTGAAAGAAGTACCTTTAAAATTTATAACTGAATATTTCTGCTCATCATTTTAACAACATATTTCACACTCACTCAAATGCTTAGGTTAATATGACTTCCCTGAGAAATTATTATTCTACCTATAGAAAGAAAAGCACTCAGAAACGAGAGTAAACGTAACAAATACTTCAGTGTTAAGCAGACTATTTGAATGGTAAAAACATGAGAAGAACATTACTCAGAGTAATTTATAAATTTAGAGAGACTTTATAAATTTGTTAGATAATTTACGCATGAAAAAATTCAAGAGGTTGTTTTGAAGCCTTTATATCTTTAACTGTAACTAAAATTTGCCTACTTAAGGCCGAACGAATTAGAATACTGAATACTGTAGTTCGATCTCGGTTCGAATACCCACGATGTTTTCGTGTTTTGTTAGCTTTGATATTTTCGTGTTTTTCTACCCTTTGTAAACCGAATGCGAGTCCTCTGCCTAGTATCATTTGCCTGATGCAGACAGCCTTCGCATGCTCTGGCGTTTATGCCTAAACAAACAAGCGATTAAAATGCATATTTCATTACATTTTGGAGGGCATTCCCATACATTGTGAATAAAAAAGGCCGCCCATTTTGCATGGTGGTAGAGGTGTCGGCTATCATAGCTTTGGGTCCGAGTTAGAATCCTGGACGAGACACTGATGTTTTTCTTTGCGGTTCGGGAATACTAGAAATGTTGTACAGTTGTTACGGGGAAACACCGAAATCTGGAGAATGTCAACATTCACATAGTCTCTTGGTGTATGTCCGAAATATTTTCCAAATACTCTTATTTTTCTGACTTACACCGGTCAATGTCGACTTCACCCTAGATAATGGTGAATGTTTGAACATATAACAATATTATATTTTCTTCTCCGTAATTCAGTCGCGAAAAAAAAGCACTTGAAGACTTGAAAATAAGAACTTTAAAACATGAGAACCTGAAAACCACAATACATTCAAAATGAGAAAGGAAAATGATAGAAGTTAAAAACTTACTTAATTATGCAGTACGTTTTAAATGAGAAAATAAAATAAAGTAATAAAACACTTACTAAATTATGTGATTCAAATCTTATTTATTGCAACAACTTAACTATTATGGCACTTTATGACTCTCTTTTCGACTTCACCAGAGCATATCTGTGATTGTCGACATAAACGGTGAGGGTCTGAAATCAAGAATGTAGTGAAATATTCGGTCTTTCAACGTATTGGTGAATGTGATATTCTCCGGTGAAGTCGCATTCTCCAATTTCGGTCTTTCACGGTAACAGAGTCAAACGGCCTCTCGCGAGGTTGGTGGACGTGGATGACGACAGGAGACCTTGAGAATTCTCCGTAGGATTCCCGTTCGAAAGTGGGATGAACAGGGTAAATGCGTATCGTCACCTCTAAAATGGTCAGGGCTTAAGCCGAAAACAAAGCGCCTGACAAGAAATTGGAGATTGGAAATTGGAGAACCGAAATTGGAGAATGTCGACTTTCACCGGAGAATATCAACATTCACCAAATACGTCGGTGAAAGACAGAATATTTCACTACATTCTTGTATATTCAGACCCTCACCGTTGTATGAGGGACTTTAAAGCATTAATGATTAATAAAATTTAGTTAAATAATAATTCAGGTTTAAATAATTAGCATTAACAAAGTTTTGCCTTCCAGAGTCTCGTGTTGATTTCTGAAATAAAGAAGTCACTGATAAAGAAGCCTTGACACGCATTGACAACATTTATAATTTGTACAGTTTAAAAATAAGCATCTTTAGTACTGGCTTTAAAAGAACTTTAGTGTTACTAAGTACATTTAGTACTGGCTTCATAGGAGTTTTCGTAATTTTTTCATATGCAGCATGAATATAATTTTTTCATATGAAGCCAGTTTCTCTTGAAACAAGTACTCCAAGTTTTGCCGTAATCGTAGTAATCCAGTCAAACCCAATAACTTCAGTACAGTTGAAAGCAGCGCTGAAATTTCTTAAGCAACCAAAAACAAATTCCAGGTTTTCATTTCTAAAATGGTTCCTTTATAAAGTCATGGAGGTCAAAAGAACACAAATTTCTTGCTGAAAGTAGTTAGTGGTTTCAATATCGTGCTAAATTCAAAAGCGTTATAGCTTAATCATCAATATATCTAAGAAAACTCGCGTTTTTCGTGTCTCGAAAGCTTGACTTAGGATATGTATCAGAGTTATATATAGCATTGTTCTAATATAGGTATTTTGACACAAAATCAGGCTTTTTCTGAAATGACATGCAATTTTTTTTCACATTTTTATTCTACTATTCAAATTATGCCAAAATGTAAAGTTTTTCAAAAATCGCGCGAGTAGTCTTTAAAAAATTAGCTCTCAAACTTTTAGCTTCTCAATGTTTATTGAGTTTACTATGTATTTATTAGTATCTCTTTTTTATTAAACTTATTTGATTCTTGCTTTCATATTTCGAAATTTAGATTTTCCAAACAAAATTCGCCTTTTTTCTCCTTGACAAGTAAAATGAAGATGTAGTCGCGAAAGTTTCAGCAGCATATTTCACGAAAAAGTCATTTGACCACTAGCGATGCAATTTACGATGTTTTGCATTATATCTGTACGTAAGGACGAATAAATACTTTTTCCTCCAAAGAATTATAAACTGCTTAAATGAATTCTGAAAGAATTTTTCGTGTCTCGTGCGAACGTATGTCGTACTACGTATCTCGCATATTAAAAAGAGTAGCCTCAGAAGTTGAAATTTGTATATCGACTCTATAATATTTATGTGCACCTCGTAGTTTGGTTGCAATCGCCCACCAAACTATATAAATATATTTATTATATACCCCCTGTTACCCGTCTCAATGATCTCTTTCTCTACTTTATAATTTTGTAAATGTACCTTTTTTGCTTTAAAACGTGATTGAATTATGCTGTTTTATCTTCCGTTAAGTTTTATGCCTTTAAATCGTAGGCAACTTTTTAGAATTTCACATTTAAAGTGTTTTAAGTGCCGCTAACCTATAATTTCCTGATGCGGCCATTGCTGTTTACATTTGAAACAGCAGGATGTGCTTTGTTGCCAATCTAGAGAAACAAGCTTCGCAACACAAAGATAAACGCCTTCTTTATTATTGCGAATTAAATCATCTTACCCTTCTGGAATTTGTCGCGAAGTGAGACTGAATTAATTGAATGATATACTCATCTCTGTGAAAACTTTCTTTTTGTTTTGTTTGCTTATTTCTTTATAATCATTCTAGCTTTATATGTATTTATTTGAATAAACATGAGGCCGATTAGATACTTTTAAATGTATAAATTTTGTGCTCTGATTTTAATATGAACGAATATAATACTGTTAGTGAATCTACGCAGATATCGCTAGGTATGTAAAAATATCGTGATTTAAGAAGCTTATTTATGTGGTTTTATGCGCTTGGGCGAAGTAGTTTTAATCAATCCAATAAGTTTAAAATAAATGCAGAAAATGCGTTATTTAATATTCCGTAGAAGAATCATGTGGTGTACACATCAGATTTTTTATGATTTATTTTTAAAATTTGTATTTTTATAAATTTTTCGAAAAAGGATTTGAATTATAACCTGTAAAATTTTTAATATCATCTTAAAATAGATGTATTTTAAGGCCTAAATAAAAAAAATTATAGTTTTGTATTGACAATTTTCTAAAATATACATGAATTTACATATTGGCGCATTTTTAAATTTGGCACATTTTTTTATAAGCAATAATAACGCCAAGTATGGTTTACGCACTTTGTTTAAAATTATTAGAAAGTATGAACGACGATTTTTTTTCCCCAAGAAGTTCGCTAAGTGAATTGTTCTTAGCGCATTTTTTTTCAGTTTGCGCGAAGATAAATTTTAGATTTCTCCATAAATTTCTGCACAAAAATTACATAATTCAATATTTAGGCTTAATTTGAGTAGTAGAATCGAAATTTGGAAAAGAATTGGTATGTTATTTCAGAAAAAGTTCTATTTGGGGTCAAAATACCCATATTAAAACAGTGCTGTATATAAATCTAATATATATCCTAAGTCGCACTTTTCAAACACGAAAAACGCAATTTGAATTTCGTCAATCGGCCGAGTAAAAAGGGAGATATAGAACTGTCTGCTTTTCTTTCCGCTATGTACCTGTTCTATATTCCGTTCCAGATCCTTGGACATATATAATTCTCCAGTAATAAATAATGCGAAAGTAATTAATCAGTTCTTATTAAAAAACCTATTATTATAACATTGTTTAATACTGAAAGGGAAATGCAATGGGTGAAATACGTACTATACATAATGAATGCACTGAACATGATACTGTACGTAAATGCTTCTCTTCTGTCAAAATCGTAAAAACAACCTTGTATTTAGCGTAGGTATAATGAAACACTCAATCGATTTCGAGGGCAGCTAAAGGTCCCACCTCATCAGGAGAAAGAAATACCTAGAAAGAAGAAAATAAAGGAGAAGGAGTCTCAGAAACACGTGGTCATTATCAGCACTGCACGTGGTTATAACTGTATTTTTATTCAGAGTTGCACTGGCCACCTACCTTTACTGAGCCAGGCTATCTGATCAAGCATAAAGGACAAGAAAAATCAGCGAAGTTAAAATAGGGAGCGAGGGGCCAATGCACCTTAAACGCTCAAAATCTGAAATTCAAATAATGGAAAGCAACCACTGACGGATTTTTTATACCCCTCGTAGTACCAAACGCGAGGAGGTAACGCCATCTATCGGCAAAATAACTGAATTAAGATAGTAGAATTTTAAAGGCATTAGGAAGGACTGGATTGGACTTCAAATCATTAACTAAACATGCTAAATCTATGGGAATATGAAAAGCCTCAGAAAATCCATTCACCTATGGAAGAAGCCTTTTGGATAA